ACAATGAGGAATAAATTTGAGACCCTATGATGAAGTAAAGGCAGGATGTACCACCATAATATTCCTCAAAATAGAGACCACGCCTCAAACTCCACCCTGACATATTGCAATCTAATGATACAATAACACGAATATGTATGCGAATACGTTGTAATTGTAATTAGAAACTGTGTAAATTGCTTGTTTTGACTCAACCATTTCGGAGCTCTTTTTACCCAGCTCGAGCTGGAGAGCTGCCCGACATCGTTTAATAAATACTTGCTGTTTAAAGGCATAAAACTCTGTCTCTAAGCAGTTTTTACCTGCCTTTTGGGGCATCGTGACCACCACTCATCTCCCAGGGAAAGGGCTGTCGTGCACTCGCACGAGACCGCACTTAAAATGGTAGTCTGACCGCCCCCCAAATCAACACCCCTAAAGATTCATCCCAGACAGCAGGTGCCAGGACAGAAAGTTCTCACGAGCCACACAGTGCCCAAGGTGTGCACTTCATGCACTTGGGACCCTGGGGATGAGGGTTTTTTTTCTGGAGGAAAGTGTTCTAGCTCATTTGCAGGTACCTCGGAATGAAATTGGACATCTGAGACCCCAAACTGAACACAGGTGAGGATTTCTCCCGGAGAAGACATGCCAGGGCAGGCAGCTCTTGCTGCCTATGGAGCACCCATGGGGGTCCACCACCCTTTCTCCTTCTTTGCTCAATTACTTTTTCCCTGCCTTTTCAGGTTGTTTACCTTTTTATTTCTCTGTCTAAGAAACAAAAAGTTTAGTTTCGTACCTGGTCTCTGCTGTTTTCCTGGTTGTAGCTGTAGAAAGAGAGCATAGGTCTTTCTTCTCATTAGCAGTCTTTCCTGCAGCATGCCCTTTATCCATGCTGAGCTTGAAAGTATAGGTGCTGCTCCCCAGAGAGCCTTTATACTCTGTGGTAATTGGCTCCTCCCTTTTCCCAGGGCCTCATGGGAAGGGAGGTGGGACTAGCCAGGGGTATATTAGCTCCAGCCTGTGGCCAGGGAATTCATTCAGCAGCTGGGATTCAAGGGAATAACAGCTCTCCTTTCTTTCATTGAAGGGGATCTTTCAAGCTTTTTTTTTTTTTTTTTTTAATTGAATCACCAGCTTCAGGGCCATGAAGAGGATTACACTCAAATGCAGGATTTTTGAAGGTGTTTGTTTTGTGAAATTTGTTTAGGAAGGGTAAGGTGCTTTTGTAATTTGCTGGGGGTTTTCTGGTTTTTGGGGTTTTTTTTAGGAGCATTTTGTCTTTTGTGGTTTCCTAATGGCTTCAAATGTAATTTGGTGGTGTGGTTTGATCTGGTCCCCACCCCTCCCAGCAGTCTCTACCCACATTTTCCACTAAAAATGTTATGGGTTTTCTCTGGGCCAGTTTTCTGTCACCCCTCCCACAATTGCCATAAATTGAGAGAAGGTTTATGCAGACAAAAGAGGTCTGATGTGGGGAGAGTAACATTACAATTTATGACTAGCAAGATAAAAACTAAAGGACTATATATGCAACAAAGCTAACTAGGCAAAACTGCTATATATTTACAGTAGTACTCCTCTGCTCTTGTATCAGTTTAGAAGGAGAAGCAGTCTCACAACGAAGCACCGAGCTTTATCGGTTGCAGGTGCCGATCAGCAACGAAGCACCGAGCTTTATCGGTTGCAGGTGCCGATCAGCAACGAAGCACCGAGCTTTATTGGTTGCAGGTGCCGATCAGCAACGAAGCACCGAGCTTTATCGGTTGCAGGTGCCATTTGGCAAACCTTGGGGAGTGGCCGGGCATTTGAGGCGAGTCGAGGAGGCCTCGGGAGGAGCAGGGATCCACTGCAGCTTTAGAAATCCCCTCTAATTTTGTCTCTCGCTCGCTCAGGTAACCCGGAAGATGACGACCGCAGCGTGCGACTGCTCCGGTTCAATCCGGCGACTCGAGGACCTGCACGGGTGACAGTGACTAGGGGGATCATCGAGGTTCGTGCCACATGCCACACAACTTATGGGCCATGTCTGGTTTTCTTTATTGTAGTTGGCTCGGAGTAATCTCGTGATGGCAGGAACCTCCGATCCAGCCCAGGTGCCCTTCCTTTGCATCAAAGACGGATTCGCACGCCCAGCTCTCCGAAAGATAAGTGGAGGGCTCCGATCTGGAGAGGGGGTGGGAGTCGG